GAACATTCTTTTATATATGAAATTTGTGTTTTGTCATATCTTTCTGACGAAGTCTGAGTAGTTCCCTACTTTGAGATATGGTAAAATGAAGAGATAAAATGAATATGCAAATATTAAAATATAAAATAGATTGTGATGATTTTTCAACTCTGAACTTAATTTACTTTTTGATCTAGTCAATTGAATTGTTAAAATGTGTTGTGAAACATATGATCCGGGAAATGGAGTACGAGTTCGACAACAGAGTGAGGATCACATTTGATTCCATGAAGGAGTATTTTATTCATGGAATTAAGTGCAAATAAATAGGGAAATATACATTGTTGGGTGTAGAATTGGAGATTTTAGGGTGACAGACTAAAATCCCTAATTCGGTCTTAGTGTTTAAAAACTAAAATGAGAGTTAGCCTTCAGATGAAGGGAAGTGGGAGCTCTGGAGAGGGAGCCAATATGCTCCTAGCCTAGCCATGGATTTAGGGACTAAACCAGGGATTAGCCAATAATTTTCTATAACATTGTATCAGGGTAGAGAATTAAAGCTGCTCTTATTTAACACAATACATATTAAAATCATTTTTCTCATCTCATTTTACCAAAAATCTCATTGCAGTGAGAAAGATGCTTTTTCACATAAGAAATCTTCATCGCATAAACATAGTTTAGTAGTTTAGTAGTTACTAGTAGTTTAGTAGTTACTATTTAGTTACTATTTAAACTTTGCATTTTTGTTTTGCTAATAGTTAAATAGCTTAGTTTTGATAATATCTCAACATTTGTAATTAGTGATAGTAATTTCATTTTACTTTCTGTGAATCTCCTAGTAACTTTATCATTTCAAATTTAAACCTTCCCCGTGGGATCAATATTTGGGGCTTACATAGAACATAGAAAGTCCTTTATGTCCTTTATTACTTGATAACGATATGTATACTTGCGTAGAATTCCAACATTAATTGCTTAAATTTCTTAATCATAAATATTGCATCAGGCTTTTGGTACAGTTACATAGCAAAGTCAAACTTATATAAATTTTACACAACTATATTTTATGAGATCAAGTTTTTGGCGCCGTTGTCGGGGAATGTAACTGTAAATTAAATAGATTTGGTAAATTAGGAAATTTAGAGATAATTATAAAAAAAATTTAAAAATCAAAAATTTAAAAAGAAATATATTT